CTGAGAGAGTACATTAAATGATTTTTATTCTTTTAAATTTTTTGAGATATGTTTTATAGACTCAAATGGGGTCTATTCTTGGTGAATGCTCATATAAGCTTGTAAAGAAGGTACATTCTGTTGTTGGATGGAGTGGCCTAGAGATGTCAGTTATATCCAGTTGGCTGATAGAGGTATTGAATTCAACTATGTTCTTTTTTTCTTTTTATTTCTTCTAATTCTGAAGGGATTAATTTAGGAGCAAAAGTGAACATTTAAAAAAAATTTTTTTACAGTTCTGGGGATTGAACCCAGGGCCTCAGATATGTTAGGCAAGTGCCCTTCTACTGAGCTACATCCTCAGACCCTAACATTCAACTTTTAGAGAAACAAAAGATAAGCCTGAAATGTAAAAATTCTGCTTCTAGAATACATGCCACGGTCAGTACAAATTTGTGCTTCTATCTTATTTTCTGTGTATCTGTGATGCCAGCCTGAATTAGGGTGATGATCCCTGAGGCAGAGTGACATCCTCCATCCTCAAAGAGAGATCTTATGCTCACTGACCTCTGCTTTGGCAAGAACGTGACTGAACTGAGATGTTTTGCAAATCACTGGCAAGACTTAAACCCATATTATTTCTTGAGCTATAATAACATTTTCTTCTTAGCCTGATGCCCTACTTTGTAAGACAAAGTTCAGATTTCATTATCCTTGACATCCCAGAAAGGGAAAGGGGTCAGGGTGTCTGAGTGGATCTACAGAGGATGCAAGTGGCTAAGGTGGTCCGCAGCAGGGCCGAGAGTAAAGTGCCAGTTTCCTGGGCTGCTGTTGCCATACGCTACATATCTGGTGCCTTCAAATAACAGAAGTCTGAAGTCAAGGTGTCAGCAGGGCCATGGTCCCTCTGAAGCTTCCAGGGGAGGATCCGTCTACCCCGCTTCCCAGCTTCTGGGAGCTGCTGACACTCCTTGGTGTTCCTTGGCTGGTAGATGTGTCATTCCAATCTCTGTTTCCCTCCTCACATGGCTCCCTCTTGTTTGTTCCTGTTTCTCTGTTATCTCTTCCTGTAAGGCCACCAGTCACTGGGCTGAGGCCCACTTGTCTTAACTAATTATATTTGCAAATATCTTATTTCTATATAAGACTACATTCACAGGTATGGGCTTTAGTATTTCTTTCTTGGGTACATAATTCAACCCACAATAGAACGCTTTCTCTGTCTTCTAAGTTTAGCAACAGAAGGTATCTGCTGAAATTATTTGACAGCTGGGATAGAATTAACAGTGACTGAAGAGGGAGAGCAGGAAGTAAACTGGCAGAGTATTTCTGCAGACAGGGCAGTGGAGGTTTTTTGAGGTCAACTTAAACCTTTGGCAGAAACAGATTTCCAAAACTGACATCTGAAGTACAGGATACATTTGCTAGTCTTCACCTGACTCATAATTTCAAAACAAATGCTGGCAAGTTAATCCATTCATCATTGTAAGGTGTGAGGTGTGAGTTGTACTTGCATGTGATGGTTGATGTCTCTTTCCAGGGTACATGTGTTTACATTTCATCCCAATTTTTAAGAGAGATTTCTCAGAATTCTGCTCAGATTTATCTTCAAAGAGTTCCGAAAAATTGCATGTGATGCTGACTCAGGCCAGGCAGGGCGAGTTGCCACAGGCACTGAGCTCTGGCATCGATTTGTGACTTCCCAGCGGGAGAACCTCAGGAATAAAAGCCCACAGGCCTGAGTGCCTTCTTAGATTAATATTTAATAGGATGACCACCCCCATCCCTCCTGCCAGTGTAGATCAGCACCACAAGCCAAGGCTTGGCCTTGCTGTGCACAAAGGCTGTGAGGAAGATTTGGCAAAGTTTTAATTAACTGAAGATAAACATACATGGGGAGCATGAGTCCATTAGTTGGCAGCACCCCCCAGAGAGAAAAGGCTTCACTAATCACACGGCACAGCAGGTGAAGTGACCTGTGGACCTGCGGCACCCATTTGCTTTCAAATTAAACAACATATTTTCAAAATAAATATGTGTTGGTTTCTTGTTTATCATGTTGTTTCCCCTGAAAAGCCGGAAAACTGGGATATTAATGAACAATAGTTTTCAATGTTTCAGCCTGGGAAAGCCAAAAACACGAACACAGCAAACAAAGCTGGGATGGCCCATCCTTGGAGGAGGGAGGGAAGCCAAGCAAAGGCAGCTGGATTCAAGGAGCCTCTCCCCTGAGGAAGATGATCAATAACAGCTGGTGGGGCTGGCTGGATTGATTCTCCAAATGGGTGGGAGTCGGGTGGGGTGCAGGTAGGCTACTTGCTCCTGTCAAGGAGTCAGCAATGTCTTCCAGTAGGTCTGCAATTTACCACCCTTTGTCCAGACTGCAAGCTGGCTGAGCAGCCGAACTAGTGCTTGTGATTACAGTATTCCAGAAGGAAGAATTGGTATCATTTGGTCAGAAAGTGGGTATTCATACACTTGTGAGGTTATATATATATCACTTAGGAGGTAACAAGTGCCATTCCTGCTGGGGGACAGAGCAACGAAGGAGACTTAACAGAATGCATGTTCTCATGCAGCTTACATTCAAGGAGGGAAGCAGCCAGCAAGCAAGTACTTATGGAAGTATCAGTTGGCAGTTGCAGTGGAGGCTTGAATGGTGAGAGAGATTTGGGGAGGGCACTCCAGGGAACGGAAAGTGGGAATGCCCTATAGAAGGTAGGGGCTTGATCTAGGGGGGTGGGGAGAATGGAGAAAAGAGCGGTGTGGAGGAGCTCAGTGAGAAACAAGATGAGCAGTAGAAGGAAAGATAAGACAGGGTCATCATTAAGGAGATGGGAGTTTATTTCAAGAGGAATTCTTTATATGAAACGTCATTTCCACCAGATTACAAGTTCCTGGAGAGCAGAGACTGTATCTGTTTTGCTCACTGAATATCTAGTTTGCGTTGCAGGGTGCATAGAGCTCCATTTTCTTTTCCTTTGAGTCTGATGCTCTTCTTTTGAACCTTTTATAGTACAGTTAGCCTGGATCCAAGATACCTCCAGTGAGGTACCTTGTCTCTCTCTCTCTCTGGTGGAGACAAGATCTCACTATGTTGTCCAGGCCAGCTTTAAACTCTCTGTGTAGCTCAGGTTGGCCTTGCGTTTGAGATCTTCTCACCTCTGCCTCCCAAGAGCTAGAATTACAGGCATGTGCCACCAGGCTGGATCTGAGGGTTCCTAAGACTGATATAAGGACTTTAAAATCAGTATTCAGATTCATTGACTCCCATCTCAGAAAAACCAGGAACACCTTGTAAAAGAGGCATGAGGAGGATTTATTAGAGGGAGATACAGGACCCACTCAAGAGCAAAGTTTTCAAAGAAATAAGCACAACACAGTTGGAAAGTAGAAATCTTTTCTGTGTTTTAGAAGGTGAAATCTGTGGAATTCGATAATCTATAGTCTTAGTCAGGGGGAGAGAACAGCCCACCACTAGTGATATAATGGTCTATTTTGATTGGAAGTGCCAAAACGATGGTCCATTCAGGGTGGAAGAGGATCTTTTGCAAATAAAAGGAAATGGGAAGAGCCTTTTACAACTGAAGGGAGCTGCCCAGGTTTGCTATTATGGGAGAAGGCGGGGAAAGCATATAAACCAGGTTTGTGTTCTGAAGCTATAATTTTTCTTTATTGAGCAGCTTACATTCAAGGAGGGAAGCAGCCAGCTTTTAAAGATTTAAAAAAATTTTAAAGATTTTTAAAAATTTTGCTTTACTTGTATCTTTTCTATCTAGCCTTGTTTATTTCTTATTATTTCTTCTGTTTTGCCTCACTGCCATGCCAAGCTCAGTTTAGTTCTCCTGAGATAGCTGATTAGGGCATCACCAAACTGACTGAAGTAGGTGTGATCTGTAATTATAAGACCCTGGACACATGCACAGAACCATTCCAAAACCCTGCACTTGACTTTGTGAGAACTCCAGCAGATTCTCAATAGGAGGGCCTAGACTGACATCTGCCTGAGATAGGTGATTCCATCACTGCCCATATGTAGAAGCTCTCGTGGGTTTCCTCGAGATTTGGACAGCATAAATGGAGAGGTGAGCCAAGAAGAGCTTGCCATCATGGCTTTTTCTCAGCATGGCTCATCCTGTTTTCTCCAGGATGTTCTTTTGGTTGTGTGTGTGTGTGTGTGTGTGTTTTGAGACAGGGTTTTACTATGCAGTTCATGCTGGCCTTGAACTCACTTTGTGATCTAGGCTGGCCTGGAACTCCTAGGGCTTCTCCTGCCTCAGCCTCCAGAATGCTGGGATTACAGGCGTGTAACCAGCACACCCGGCCTTCTCCCACGTGTACTTTTTACTCTGGTCAGGGTCGCTCTGTAGAGCCACTTTCTTTCCTACTCTTCACTTTTACTTCCTCAAATAAACTTAGCTACTGCTTTTTGCTGGTTTTGTTCAATTTTTTGATCAAGACCAGAACCTGGACTCTAACTCCAGAGGGAGAGGCGAGCAACTCAAAATCCAGTATCATTAATTGGCCACTTTTAGAATCAGGGTAACCAATAACACTCCTTCACATTGAAAAGGCTGGACCTTTGATCAATAAAATAAGGAAGAAGTGATAGTGATGTAGGGGAGTGAAACTCCCACCCTAATAGATGTCCGGTAAGAGTTTGTGTTCTCTAAAATTGAAGAATGAATTTTAGGAACAATGGAGGTTAAGAGTAGAATACATTTATTGAGAGAAAGAAAGCTTCTGTCTGAGGGGCAGAAGGGGTCCTGAGCAGCTTGCCAGGGACTCTGTCTTTTTCAGGGACTTTTATAGAGTAAAATTATGAAGTGAGACAGGTCCAAGATGGGGAAAAATGGGAACTTGCAAGGTGGGCATAAGGTGGGACAGAACTATGGTTAACAATAAGATTAATTGCTCAGGTGAAATTGATTAAATCAGAAACAAATGGGGAAGCCAGTCAGTAGTGAGCAGGCATTTGTAACAGCTTAACAGCAGTGACTCTTCCTGTAGAGGGTTGGGATGGTGACTCCTGGCTTCCTCAGGGTGATACAGAACTATTTAGATTGTCAATCCCTAGGATATGGGTATATTTGCTTTCCTTTTGTCTTGAGATCTAGCCCACAGTGGGAGGTGTTTGTCTCCTCCAAGGTTGCAAGGTATGTGGCCTTCTGCACTGGCTCTTTTTTTAAAAATTTTTTTATTATTTTGAACGTAGTAAAACACAACAGAACAAAGCCAATTGAGATAGTGCAGTGAAATTGGTACAGAATGTCACAGCAGGTCACCAGGATAACAGTAATAGGTACCACAGTATATCTCGTTATCTTCACAATAGTTGTTTTTTCAATCAGGTATAGCAAAATCAAATGAAATACAGAATTATACAACTTATCAAAACAGAATATTGAATAGAGCAATACAGTTAATCAGAACAAAGCAAAACAGTGATTAATATTTGCTTTCAAAGAGATGGTAGAAGGAAATTCCCCCTATTTGCTGTATTACATGTGGTCAACCTCCCAAGAGATGCTTAGACCTCTGGCTCCCATTTGCTAACAGGGGTAGGGGGGTTGGGGGGATTGGATGTTTGATTCTCAGCCCGAGTGCCAGTAGGATCACAGCCCCTTACCAGGGAGGTAAGCTGGTTGCTTGGTTTCCCAGCACCCTAAATTCCAACATGGTGCAGATCTTGGGAGACGCTGGGTTCTCTCCCTAGGGTGGCTGCAGCTTGCCCAAACCACGGCTGCTTACTAGGGAGTCTTTTTTTTTTATCGGTACCAGGGATCGAACTCATGACTGTGTGCTTTCAAGGCAGGCACTTACGCCGCTGACCTAAATCCCCAGCCTTGCACTGGCTTCTTTGAGGACTCAGCCCTGTCTGACTGCCTATAATATTTTTAACTGAGCTGCCTGTAACAATAGTATATGACTTTTAAAACAAAGCTATGAAAGTCACCCCAACATTGGCCTGGTGTCTTGGATTTCTTTCTGTAGGAGAGGTCAGCTGCAGTACCATGTGGACATCGCTACAGCCACATGAGAGCCCCTGTGGAGAGGAGCTGAGTCCCTGGACAAGAGTCCGAAACCAACTTGCTAGTCAGGTTAATGAGCCTTCCTGGAAGTGGATTCTCCTGCCCACAAGGAGCCGTCAGATGACTGCCTCCAGCTGACATGCAATTGCAAAGTCAGGAGAACCCTGACCCAGAACTGACCATCTGAGACCTCCCCAAATTTCTGACAACAGAACCATGAGGGAGGGTAAGTGATTATGATTTTAAGCCATTAGGTTTTGGGTGATTGTCTTGCAGTGTGGCTAGAGCATACAGTAACAATTCACATTCAAAACAGTGAGGCAATTGTAAGGACAACTATAAGGCTATCCTCATAATGGACCCTTTCATGTGGGACGGAGGGCTGGGGGTCACCGGAGGCAAGAGGAGGGCTAATGCTATTCCATGTGGACAGCGAACAGGTATGAATGATGAAACCATGGGTGAGACCGTTTAAAAATAAATGTATTGATTATAACCTATGGGGGAAACAAAACCCAAGGGGCTCAAAATAAATTTGCCAGGATCTTGAGCCTATATAACTTCCTCAGGTTTGTTTTACCACCCAGGAAGAGTTTTGCAGGGCAAAAGACTCTTCAGTCTTTAAGTTAACAAGGAGGTAATCCCTGGCAAGGGTATTTTTTTTCTTTCTTTTTATCGGTGTTGGGGATCAAACTCACAACCGCCTGCTTATAAGGCAGGCCCTTATGCCGCGGAGCTAAATCCCCAGCTCTGGCAAGGCTATTTTGGAGCAGCTCTCAAAGGAGGAAATCAGCCTGAGGCTCTGGAATCTGTAGAGAATCAGGTCAGGAGTGGGCCTGAGGCAGGACCTTGCCCTTCCACTTATCAGCCCCAATGCCACAGCTGGGTGTTGGACGAAAGGGGACACTGTTTCAGGGATTTCCTGGGTCAGAGGCACAGCTGCTTTCCAACCCACCACCTACCCCTGCATCTCCACCCTCACCCTGAACACCAGGCCCCTCACAAGTGAAAATTCGAGTCATCTCATTTAGCTGTGCTGGGTGTGGCCCAGCAAGTTACTATCCTCAAACTACCCCCACCTGATGCATTTGTCTGGCCTCTTATTTCTATAATTAATCGATGCTCTTCAGCTAAGGACTGTTGAAGTCTTGTTCAAAATAAATTTTACCTGGAATGCCCATGTTCCAGTGACGTCATGCTATTCCAGCTAGGGCAGACAGGGCAGGAGTCCTGAGCCCCTTAACATCCCCAGATCCCTTCCCAGGATCTCTAGGATGCCATAGACCAGAGTTTGAAAACCACAGGTAGAAAATATTATGGAAACTACCACATAGTTTTGTAATGATATGCCATTCGTGATGATTTGTGCCACTGGCTTTTTTCTCCCAGTACCATGGATAAATAGGTAAACCTCCCTCAGGTACCAGTTTCTGTCAGTGCATAAGGTCTCTGAGGGATTCTCCTCAGAAGTTAAAAGTCAGAACTTCTTTCTCTGCCTCGTTCCCCAGACTATGGCCCCTTTCCAGTCAGACTCTGCTCCTGTAGTCAACTGCCCCCCAGGCCCTTCCTTTCCTGTCTTCCATACTCTACCTATACTCCACTTCTGAGGAGACAACTTCTCCCTCAGCCCAAGGGACTGTCCTTATTGGCATCCATTAGCATATGCTATCTGTTCTTTGTCCATTAAAATTACCTATGAGTTAAAAGTCCCAGAAACATGAGGCTTGGGCGGGGGGGGGGAGGGGGGCAGGGAGCTGAGGGTTGGTCTGGTTTAAGCTCTTACTGCGTGGTTGAGGGGACTTGAAGTGACCTGAGCAAGATCACAATCAATCCTGATAAGAATCCAAGTCAGGTTAACCTCTCTGGGAGCTTCTTGAGGGCAGAGGCTATGTTTTAAATTTATTTTAATTCTCTATATCTAGTAGGTGTTCAGTTCATATTTGTGGAGTTGTTGCTGGGTTAGTGGTTGAGGACCAGCAAAGTATCCCACTTTTAGGTCAATCAAATCCACCATGAAAATGAGTCTAAGAGGTCGTAACTGAGAAGTGTTACTTGAACTGCAACTGTCAGACATGGCCTCTGGAGGGCACATGTGAAAGAAGGGCAAAGAAACATCCCCTGTCCCTAGGCAGGAGGAGATCAATGTTGAGATAAGGAGCCCAACCCACCCTACCCAAACAATTAATTTGCAGGTTCTCTGACTCTTGTTGAAAAACCTGAGAAAAGAATTTTCAGGATGCATCAATAGAAGAGAGAAAAGAATTATTAGGAAGAAACTTAAAAAGTACACATGCAAAGAAATAGAGTGCAGGTTCCCACAAGAGAGGTGTGTTAATTCCTGGAGCTGAGAACATTTAAGCTTCTCTTGAGAGGCAGTGACTCCAGGAGAAGGTGACCCACCCTTCAGAAGAGTACTGGTCCATTTTACGGGTATAAACCCAGGGTTTTAGAAGCATAATTTAAGTTTCTTTGAATTTTCCCAGCCTATTCCTTTATACTAGGATCTTTACTTTCTTAAGCCAATTTATGGACTTACAGTATTTTTGAGGAATTTTGGGTGTGATGGGTCTGGAAGAAAAGGAGTCTGTATGAACCAAGGGGATGCTGATGTAGATCGCTGTTGGTTACTTCTGCTGGGTTCTGGATGATGCAGCCTTTAAAGCACAAGCTTTAGTTATGGTTTTCCTTGTCTGCTTTCTACTTACTTTTTCTATCCTACCTAACCTCTACTAAGAAGTTGTCATTGTAGTAACAGGATGTAGTTAATCAGGCAAGTCTTGCCTTGGTGTTTACAACTGTGGGTCTCTGGGCAAAGCCACTTAGTCTGTCTGAAGTTAACCTTTGATTTATAGAATAGGAGGGTTGAGAGGGTTGAGGAATTTTTATAAAGCAGTTGGTATACCAGATACCCAATAAATTGTTGTTATTTTTAAAACTTCACATCCCTCTAATTTTTCCATTTTATTGTGAAACATTTCAAACATGGTAAAACAGCACTTTTTACAACAAAAGCTATATACTCACTACCCAGATTCTACCACTGACATTTTACTAAAATTGCTTTTCACTCTTATCTCTCTTCCCATCCATCTACCCATGAAAGTGACACACTTCAAAATAAATTGCAGATGTCAACACACTTTCCTATAAATCCTTTAGCATGTGTATCATTAACTAGAGTTCAATATTTGTTTAGATTTTATTGGATATAAAATTTAGATACAATGAAATGCATGAATGTTAAGTACAGTGTGTATTTGCTGAGTTTTGACAAATGCAAACACTGGGGTAATCCAAACCATCATCAAATATGTAGAACATTTCTATCAGCAGAGTTGACTCCTGCCCCTTCCCAATCTCTCCTGCCTTCCACCCCAGGGCTGCTTCTGAAGCATTGTCAGATTTTTTTCTCTGTAGATTGCCTGTTATAGAACATCATATAAATGGAATCACACAAAAGAAACTTCCTAAGTGTCTATAGATCTACCGGTTTTCCCTCTTTCTCACTTGTAATTCACAAAAATAACTGCAGAATGCACCGAGAACAAACATCAACTTAGGAAGGAACCGTCTAGAAGCCCAAGCTCTGTTTTAGTCCTCCCTTCCCCATAGGCTGTCCTTCAACACATCCCAATAGGTCACGTTCCCTGGGGTCTAAATCCCACGGTGGATTGTTTCCCAGGGTCCCAGTGGAAGTGTGGCACGCACAGTGAGACTCTATCCATTCTTAGACCTTGGGCATGGACTCACAATTGATCCTGCGCCTCAGTTACCCCTTGTTGCTTAGCTGTGAGGAATAAAGCTGCTTTATGTGTGCTTGGACATACTGTCTCACTGTCAGCAATTGGGGGTACGTATTCTTTTCTGTAATGTTCTTTTCACTAGTGTTCAGACTCATCCACGTTGTTATGTAATCAGTGGTCCATCAATTTTTATTGCTGAATAGTATTTTAATGCATGAATATATCACCACTAGCTTACCTGTCACCTTACAATTCTTTTTTTTTACAAAGTTTTTAATAAAACCTCATTACATTCTTTTTTCCCCGGTGGTAGCTGATCAGAAACAACATCCAGTTCCACAAAATTCAGCCAAAAGGGAATTGGATTTCCTGAGATAGAAAAACCCACAAGCCCTGAGACAGTGGAGAAGGAGCTTCTCTTGGTGGATCATAAGCCAGTTATTTCCTGGTTTAAATTAATGCTTCATCACAGCATCATCAGAGGCAGAAGATGAGACTCTAATTTCCTCCCGGGAGGTCCTTCGCCCCGTCTTATTCTTATGCGTTGCAGTTCCTCCGGCGTCCTCCACCATGAAATGACTTGAAGCCAATTAAGAGCCTTCTGCTTCCTCATCAGTGATATTTATGACTATGGGAATATTTATGATGCATGGAGAGGCCTTGGGCCAGGGAGGAGGCTGAGCTTTTGCTGTCCTTGTAAATGGGATTTGTCTCCTTGCTTTTGCCAGGGTTGTAAAAGGGAGAACGAGGATCATATAGTTCAGGGTTGCTCTTTTTTTCTTTCTTTTCTTTCTAGCTAACCTTTGCATTCAGGCTGTAGATTAATCGGTAATAAACTCTTTTTTATTACTGACCTCCAGTTAGGAATGAAGGTGGCATTTTGCTTTTCTGAATACTTTGGTTGTCTTGCCTTTTTTTTTCTAAATCTGCCCTCAATTGCCCTATCCAGGTTAGAGCTATAACATGCTGGAGGATGTTTATAACCGAGTAACAGAAGTCTATGCATTCAGTAAGAAGCTCACGAGCTTCTGGAAGCCACCTAAATGCTTCTTCATAAAAAAGGAAGGACCACAGGTATTTTCTTTTGGGAAAAATTGTGGAGGACACCATCACCTCAAACATGCTCTCTACTGTCCCTAGCTGCTACCATTCTTGACTCCAGGAATCTCCCTTCTACTTTTGGAGCCTCAGTCTCCACTTGGGCTTGGGATCCCATCCTCTTCTCCCCAGGCCCAGCGCACACCTTCAAATCCTCCCTCGCAAAGCCTTCTTCAGGGCTTGCTGTGGACTGGCAGCAGAGCACTTGCCTAGCTTGCACATGCCTTGGTATCAAAGAAAGAAAGAAAGAAAGAAAGAAAGAAAGAAAGAAAGAAAGAAAGAAAGAAAGAAAGAAAGAGAAGAAAGAAAGAAAGAAAGAAAGAAAGAAAGAAAGAAAGAAAGAAAGAGACAAAGGAGGAAGGAAGGAAGACAGGGCTTCTCCTCCACCACGGCCTGCTGCGCTGGGTCTCTCTCTCTCCTGTGATACTGAGATATATTATATAAATGCACAGCAAGTGCACATTCTGCAGGTACCTACCCTCAGGAACACCTTCAGAAGCCAAGCTGCCCCTTCCTGTAACTGCCCTTTCTCATCTTCTCTCCTAGAATCCTTGAAAACCAGCATCTCTGTCTCTCTCTCCTCATTTATCCCCACACAGCCTTGTTCCACTTTGCCGTCATGCTGGAAGGCCCTAGAGCCACCATCACTGACTCCTCAGCTGGCGGGTTACTGGCTGTCCATGCCAGGCCCTTCTGTCCTCAGGACTAGTCCAACCTCAGTGACCTGTCATTTCCCAAGCCCTCTCATTTTGCCTTTTTCTTTACTGGCCTCTATTTTTCTTCCCACACCCTAAAGGGAGTCATTCTTCAAAACCAGGGTGTGGCAACCTTTCCACCTGGGCTGTCCCTAGAGCAGCAGCTGTGCCATCGCTGATGCTCAGATGCTGGTTGCATTTGCTTTCTGGACGCCTCTTCCTGAGTCACACCTGAAGCCAACCTTCTCCCCCAAGCAAAGAGATATACGAAACATGATTTCTGTCCTCTGGGAGCTCATAATGCAGTTAGGAAGAGACACCCACACACAAACATTTCAAAATGTTTGTGGCAAAGCCTGAGAGTTCATTGATATTAAAGGTGATGATACAGCAAGAGTCACGCCTTATGACCCACTGTTCCGTGAGTGCTACTAATAACACCACTGCTTGCTCAGGGTGGAGAAGCCGAGGGATCATTGCCCAGGGAAGAGTTTTTACAGGCTGGTCAGCAGGTTCAGTGCAGAGGGATGAATGTTTATCCCAGTGCTGGAGGGTAAGGCAGGACTTTTCCGAGAACATTCTTTCAATCTATGCTTGATGCCACAAGTCAGATCACGATGCTCCCTCTCTCTCTCTCTCTTTTTTTTTTTTTCCTGGCATTACTGGGCATGAAATGCAGTCCTTTTTATTTTGAGTCACTATGTAAGTCGCAAAGCCTCCCAGATCGTGTTGCTGCTTTTCCTGAAGGAGAATTGCTCCTCCAAGGGATTTTGGAGGCTGTCTTTTTTGTTTATAGTCTCCTGGGGGCTGCTACTAGCACCTACTGCCTGGCTGTCAGATGCAATCAGGGTTAGTCCCATGTCCTGCCAGCCACACCTACATTTAAAAAGAGTCACAGAACTGGACATGGTAGCACATGCCCGTCATCCCAGCACTCAAGAGGCTGAGGCAGGAGGATCACTGCAAATTCAAGACCAGCCCGTGCCACGAGGTGAGTTCAAGGCCAGCCTGAACTGCACAGTGAAACCCTGTCTCAAAAAGACTAAATAAATAAGTAGTCACAGGAGAGTGGAGAATGGGAAATAAAGTTGATGAAGATGTGATATGTATATGTACTAATTCCCCAAGATGAACATTATTGCTGTGGATGCAAACATACACTAATAAAAGTAATAATAAAGAAAAAGAGGTAAGACTAGTGAGACATAGGATTAACCTGGGTCTTGGGGGGACATCTCCATGACTCCAAGACCTCCACCTTGGCTTACAAAAAGAACTAGCAAAATCCACACATTGTGCATGGAATTACCTCATAGAAGGGTAACTGGTGTGCAGTAGACAAAATCAAACACTTGCCCAAGGTGACCAAACAGGTATAGAAGGACAAGTTCATCCATGATAAGCTTTTTCACAGTTTTGCAGGCAGAAAATCTAGAAAGTTGCTTTTAAATTTTTTAGCATAAATTAAGGTTTAAGCTTACATCAGAACAAAAATTTCTTCTAAGTTTCATGTGAAGTTAGTCCTGTAGCCTTCTAGTGCTGAGGGCCAGCAGGGACACTTATGAGGCCATGAGAGAGTCCCCATAGCACCCCTCACTGAGTGGCCTGGGGAACCCAAGGAAATGGGCTCACTGTAGAGGGAGCTCCTCACAGAGGGGCAAGATCAGAAAGGGCATGGTTAGAGTCAGAAATGGGTCAGCGGCATGTTAGCCACTCTGGAAATGCAGGAAGATGGGAGGCAGACCGTGGGAAGCCAGTTGCTGGTCTGTTGGCCAATAAAGACCTGGTAGCTACTGTCTTTCAGGCACTGATTGCACACTGGGGTACATTAATGAGCAAGCCCTTGTCCTGGGGGTATTTACATCCTGGCATGGAAAAGGGGAAGCCAAAAATACCACCTGGACCACTCATGTCTATGCCCAGAGAGAGACACTGATGATGGCAGGTTGGCAATGCAACTCCAGAATGGTGAGTCTGAGACACCAGCATGGCAGTTAACAAGCCCTCCGGGGAAGGTGGGGGTCTTGGTCATGGGTTACCTGGTGATGGACTCTCCAGGTGTCACCAGGGCTGCAGGAAAGGAACTTTGTAGCTGCCTATGACATCCTGCCCCATCCTGGCTCCTGTGTGCTCAGTCCTGACCCCAGAGGCTAGACTGGTAGGGGCATCCCCAGGGTCAGAGCCTGGGAGTCTGAGCCAAAGTCAAGTCTAGGAGCCAGACCAAAGGGAGGAGGCACACTTGGCTGTGGGGATGTTCTTTGCCTGTGCACTGTGGGCCTGTGGGGCATGGCCTGATTTAAATAAAGGGCATGTTATTTCATCAACAGCCCAGCCTGGTGTTAGAAGCAGGTGTGTGGGACTCAGACAGGGTCCTAACAGGGCTGTACATCACTCTCATCTGAATAAATCAAGGAGAGCAAACTAACAAAGGTGTGGTGAGGCTTGGGGGAGTCAGAAGGGGTGTTGGGTGATGATCCTACAGCTGGCCATGGGAGCTGCAGCAACCCCGGGCCTTACGTAGAGTGGGGAAGGAAATGGATATTGAAACCAGGAGGGAGGGGCAGAGCTGAGAAGTGTGTCATGAGAGCACCCTGGCGCACAGCCAGCCTGCGGCACCCTGTGGGGAAGCAGTGGGCGCCAGGTGCTATGACCCTGCTCCCTGCCCTCCAGGCTTCTGTGGATTCCCCCCTCCTTGAGAAGCCACAGGATAGGGGACGCAGGGGAGAGTGGACAGAAGACACATAGCCCAGGGCGGCCAGAAGCCGAGGACATAAACAGTTCTGTCTCTGGAAAGAAACACTCCACTGTAAACAAATCTTTCATGAGCATGGCCATGAAAGGAAGGGAAAGGAATTGCGCCCCAGCCTGGCCTGGCCCGGCCCAGGTGTGATTCTGTTATCTTGCTTATCCGACCGCACCAGGCACACAGTGCTCTTTGTACCTGTCCGTGACTCAGGCCACCAGCCTCTCACACACATTCTTGACATCTCTAACCAGGATCCCAACCAGGGGTGCTGCTCCTAGCACATCACTTCCTTCCCTAAAACAACCGCAACCTGGCACCCTAGAGTTCACCATTGTGTGTGAGGGCTTTCAAGATCTGGCCATCTCCAGAATCATTTCTTGCCAGTTCCACCCAACTTCATCATCCTTTTCATTCTCAGTCTCTTCTCTCCAAATCCAGCCCACCATAGGTCCAGTCACATAGAACTACTCTCTGTCTCTGTTTCTCTCGCCTCAGGGCCTTTGCACATGTTTCTTCCCCCAAAACCACGAAATCCATTCTAAACTGATTAACTCTTATTCCTCATTCTTCTGTTTCTAGTTGTCCTTGGCAAGGGTTCAGTGCCTCTCCTGCTTTCTCCCATAGCACCGTGGCCCTGCCCAGATTATAGTATTTATTTTCCTATTAATGCAGTAGATATTTACTGAGCACCTGTGCCAAACCCTTTCAAGTTCAGGGCCTTCGCTTGTGCTGGTCTTTCTGTTTAGCATGTTCTTCCCTCCACTCTTACCTGGCTGACCTTTACTGATTCCTTGGGTCTCTGTGGAAATCCTGTTTCGCAGAGGCAGCTTCCCCTTCTTCTCTTTCCTAGGATCTTATCTATGCCGGTCTCCCTCTCTCCTTGTGGGAAGGGCCAGGTCTGTTTTAGCACCATTCTGCTCTCTGGGGGCAAAGCCTGGCATGTGTTGGTCATCATACACAGGAGGGAGCGAGGGAGGTGACAGGTTCTCCAGAAGAGCGTGACAAAGGATAAGGACTGTCTGTTCCGTGGATTACTCCAAGTTTTGTGGGAAAGCTTGGAGGATTGTCTTAGAAAAGTGCAAACTACAAATACAAAATTAGGTGTGAAGTGCAAAATTAGCCTTTATTTTGAGTGGAAAGTACCACAAATATCAGGCACAAGAAAAATAACAGAATTTTTTTGTTAATTAACTTCCTGACACACCACTACATTACTTTCCCCTTCTATGTTGTTTGGTTGACTACACTTTCATCAGCTCCTCATATGAAATGATTTTATAATATTTTCTATATAGAGAAAGATAATTAAATCTTTCTGCCAGTATAATAAAATTATGCTTATTATTGATGGCTGGAATGCATAACATATGTGATTTCACAGCCAGACATACTTGGCTATTCAAGAGACTACTACAGTTTAAGCCTCACACAAACGCAGGCATCTGAGAGGTCCTATTTGGCAGTATTTCCATGAAAACAGAACGACCAGCTGGGTGTGGTGGTCATGCTTGTAATCCCAGCATTCAGGGAGGCTGAGACAGGAGGAGACAAAGTTTGAGTTCTGCCTGGGGAACTTAGTGAGGCCCCATCTCAAAATAAAAACATAAAAATGGCTGGGGATGTAGCTCAGTGTGAAGGTCTTATGTTCAAATCCCAGTACACCAAGAACAAAAGAAAAAGAAAACCACATAGCCCATTATTATGTCCCTGCATGTCTCAATATATTCCAGATGACAGGGCACACCAATGGGAACGGCCCCTGCAATTGCAGTTTGCAATGGAAAAGCTTCCTGCA